GAGAAATACGTTCCAAAAGAGATATTTTCTTCTACTAAGAGTATGAAAAAGATATCACCAATAACATTTTCTTGGGAGGAATAAATTTTTTTCTCAGTGTAGCCATTCATTGGAGCCTAGAAAGATCAATATCAAGGTTGAACGTGAGTCAACTTTGGGCCAACTCTGCATTGACTTTTGGTCAACTTTGGGTCAACTTTAGCTTGGCCTTGGGTTAACCTTGGCTTGACCTAGTGTTTCCCGATCTAGTATTAATACTTACTTGTATCGATATTTTTTGTTCCGATATTCGATATTTTGGATCGATATTTGCGCATCGCGATATTGGGTGTATCGATATTTCTGGGTTGGGATCGATATTTTCTAAGGGATAAGTAATGAGAAAAAAAATTAATCTAAAAAATATTCATAAGGGATTTAAAGACCAGGGAGGTCACAAGAATAAGATGATTCATCGGGGTCAAAATATCAGAAGGGACAAAAGGATCACAAGAGGATGGTCAAATTTCAAGAGGGTCAAACATCACGAGGGTCGAACGTCACGAAGGTCACAAGGGGATGATCAAATTTCACGAAGGTCAAAAGTTACAAGGGTCACATTGAGACGATCAAGTTTCACACGGATTAAAAGTCACAAGAGTCACAAGGGGACGATCAAATTTCCCGAGGGTCAAACAGCACGAGGGTCACAAGGGGATGGTCAAATTTCACGAGAGTCAAACGTCACGAGAGTCATAAGGGAATGCCTAAATTTTACGAAAGCCAAAGGTCACGGGGGTCACAACGGGATGATCAAATTTTACAAGCGTCAAAAGTCACAAGGGTCACATGGAAACAAGGTTCACAAGTGTCAAACGTGACGAGCGAGACAAGGAGACGATCAAATTTCACGAGGGTCAAACAGCACGAGGGTCACAAGGGGATGGTCAAATTTCACAAGGGTCAAACGTCACGAGGGTCACCACGAGATGGTCAAATTTCACAAGGGTCATAAGGGGATGGTCAAATTTCACGAGGGGCAAATTTTCACGAGGGCCACAAGGAGACGGTCAAATGTCACGGCAGTTAACCGACACAAGGGGACGGTTAATTTTCACAAGGGTCAAACTGAGAGGGTCACAAGGGGACGATCAAATTTACGAGTCAGTACGAAAGTCACAGGGAGATCGCCAATTTTTGAACTTTCCAGGGCCCGAAATATGATTCCGTGAAAAATTCAATAAACTTGAATAATGAACACCATTATCTTTCCTACAAAGAGTTGGAGATTGTTCCATGTGATTCTTAAAGATCGTTAAAGCATCGTATTTCTTTGTGACTCTTGTGATCCTTTACTCCTCGCTCCTTTGACGTTGGACCTTCGTGGAAAATGACTATTGAAACATTCAAACGTCATAACATTTCATTATTCCTTTGTGACTCTCGTGACATTTGACCCTAAGTTGTGGACTTTGCCAAGAAGCAATTTTTAAAAATGAATTATTGAAAATGTTTTGAGTGTTCATTTTAGTCCCGTCCATACAGATTTATCAGGTGTCCATAATGCCCAATGCATCAGTTTTTAAAATTTTGAATTTTGCAAAAAAAAATTTTTTCGCCAATTTTTGAGTGTCCATTTTAATTCAGTTATCCATATTACCCCGCCCCCTCTAATTTTTTCAAAAACCGGAGAATTTTCCTAGAATTTTCTCGGAAACCTAAGAATTATCTACAACTGTCTCGAAAACCCAAGTTTTTTCTGGAATTTTCTAGAAAACTGAAGAATTTCTTCGAACGTGCTCGGACACCCTAGAATTTCTTCGAATTTTGTTTGAAAACTCTAAATATCGTTGTAATTTTTTCGAAAACTGGAGAATTTTTAGGAATTTTCGCAGAAACCGCAGAATTCTCTCGAAAATCGGGAAGATTTCTCGAAAACTTCATAGGAAACATGAGAAGATCTACCGGAAAAAATAAACACGAACAATTAAAATTTCATAAACAGCTTCATTCTGTTGATAACTTCACCATGAATAAACAAATTCAAAGCTCCAAGTGAATGGAATAAATGAGAGGTCGTTTTGTATCTCATTTAATAACTTTTTCAACCCATATGTGATATATGTTGATATAACATTTACAATAACAGTCTGCGAAGAAAAAAGCAATTCTTTTCATATTATTGATGCACGACAAATCTCCATCGATCAAGTCGAAAGCCTACATAATAGTAATTGATGGAGAAATGTAAATTTTAGAGTACAAAAACATGAAAATTCGTTCTTTCCTAAAAAGTCCCATAACTCATTCAAAAATTATCCGATTCTTTTCAACCAATATAAGATTCATACTGATAGTCGATGGAAAATAGAGCAATTTTTCTCAAGTCTGTTGAAAAATCTCAAAATTTCAATTTGTGATATGCGAAATTCTACATATAATCACCCATAACAGTTGATCAAGTAGATAGAATAAAAAATATTATACACCATTTTGAAGATCTCATTGAGATCTTCAAATTGGTGTATGATAAGTACTTACTGGTCAAGTCCAAAGTCACGATAATTGATAAAAAATGCGAATTTCAGGGTGTGACATAGCATTCAGAAGGGAAACAATATTCACTAACTTCATGAAAAGTCAACCCAGTTGCATTTCACACATCTCAATTTGAAGAACGGAAAATGCCCTTTAAAATGATATACAAATATTCTCATTGACTTGAAATGAAAATATCTAAAAATCCAACCAAATTTGAATTTTCAAGTAAAACACGAAAATTCGTTTTATTCCTAATAAGTCTCATAACTCGTTGAAAAATCATCAAAATTAAACAGTTCGCCTGTCAATTTGATGGTTGTTGAATCATCTTTCCAACCGACATAAGATTCATGCTAATAGTCGAAGAAAAAGAGAGCAATTCTCGTCAATTACGTTGAAGAAAACGAAAATTTCAATTTGTGACATGCGAAAATCGACACATAATCACTCATAACTATTGATTAAATGGATGGAACGGAAATTAGCATACGCCATTTTGAAGATCTCATTGAGATCTTCAAGTTGGTGTATGATAAAGCCTCACAGGTCAAGTCCAAAGTCCCGATAATTGATCAAAAATGCGAATTTTAGGGTGTGACATAGCATTCCAAATGGTAACAATAGTCAATAACTTCATGAAAATTCAACCAACTCGGCTTTAACATATCTCAATTTGAAGGACGGAAAATGCTCTTTAAAATCCATACAAAGATATTCCCATTAACTCGACTCGAAAATATAAAAAATCCAACCAAAATTGAAACATGAAAATTCAATTTTCGCCTAAAAATCCCATAACTTAATGAAAAATGGCTGAAACCGAATCATTTACGTATCAATTTGAAGCTCATTTAATAAGCTTTCGAATGAGTATAAGATATATATGGTTCGTCTAAGAGAAAGAATGAATTTTAGGGTCAAAACCGAAGAAAGGACCACCGTTACGGTCACGGATCGTTTTCTTTTGGAACGTAATCCAATCGTTTGGCTCTTTCATTCAAGGCCAAACATTTTATGGTCCTTCGAGCCGGATATTGAATCGCGAGTGAATAAGAACTTTTTTAACAAACTTTAAACTCATCGTGAGTAAAACCAGTATATTGTAGTGAAGTGAACGACGCATTTTCTTATACATACCTGTGAACTCCGATATCACCAAACATGCCTGACGAAAATACTACTCTCAGACGCAAACGTGGTTACCTTTTGGGGGCTATCACAAACCTCAAAAATGCTATGAATGCCTACAGGCAACTTCCAGCTGAAATCCAGGTTCCAGAGAAGCTCCTGATTGCAGCAGACGCTCTGAAAACAAAATTTCTAGCCTTCGATGATCTCCAAGAACAAATAGAGTTACTGGATGAAACAGAACAGGCAAAACGCTACCAAATCGAGGGCGACTACTACGATGTCCTCGGGGAGGTTGCCGCCATTGTCTCCTCTACCACGATTTCGAGATGATGTCAGTAAAAATCATGTTAACACCTCATCTGGACCCACAGCAGCTTCACTCTTTGCTCTCATGCGTCTACCAGAATTGGACACCGTAAAGTTCGACGGTTCATACGAGAATTGGCCTGCATTCATTGATTCCTACAATTGCAACATCGAACAGCATCCGGACCTATCAAAGGTCCAGAAATTGCAACACCTCCGCAGCCGTCTCACAGGCAAGGCTGCCAAGGTGATCGATGCTCTCAAAAACACTACAGAGAATTACGACACTGCAATGGAAATGTTGAAGAAAAAGTACGATTGCGAGAGAAAAATCGTTTCCAGACATTGGTGGATACTCCATGATATTCCTACCACAACAAAGAAAACTCTTGAAGCTCTCGGGAATCTTGTCGACACCTTCAATCAGCACATTCGATCCTTGCAGAATCTAAAACAACCAGTGGACCAATCGGACCTGGCGTTAATCTGTATGATTCAATCAAAAATCAGCCCAGAAATACTCACCCATTGGGAACTCAAGATCAAGGATTCCAAGCTCCCTAAATACACCAGTCTGCTTGAATTTCTTGAAAATCGATCGCAATGTTCAGCGCCAATTGATTCATCAACGAGCAACGAACGCTCAAATCACTACAAACGCGGGAAGCAGGCATTCCTCTCTTCAGAAATCACTTGTACCATCTGTAATGAAGGCCACAAGATCGGTAAATGCCCAACTTTCAAGGCGCTCTCACCAGCAGAGCGCTACAAGGCCGCCAAGCAAGCATCATTATGTATCAACTGCCTGGGCGCCAACCATGACAAACAGCAGTGCATCTCACGTTTTGACTGTAACCATTGCCACGAACGTCATCACACACTTCTCCACTTCAAGGAGAAATCTGCAGTTGGGAATCCTGTCAGTAAGCCTCCAGTGAAGCCAGCTGCCAAGGCTCCGATTCAACCACCGACGGAGAACTCAGCATGACTAGGGGAACTCCAGAGCCCAAGCACACCAACAGGACAGTCGTTCACCATCAACACCTCAACCTGTGACTTGATGGTCACTGCTCAACTGAAAGTGATCAATCGCTTGGAACAACAAATAAATTGTCGTGCTCTCTTGGATACCTGCTCTACTACGAATTTCATGACTGAACGTCTCGCCATGTCATTGAAACTACCTAAAAGTAATTTTGTTATTCCAATTGGTGCTATGAACTCGATGAACACTTCCACGAAGTACCTCGTCACTGCAACAATATGTTCTCGAATCAACAACTTCGAGAAAACACTAGACTTCCTGTCCCCAACATCTCATCTCTGGTCCCGGATCGACATCTTGATTATCAAAGCATCAAGGTACCAGCTAATTTACAACTGGCAGATCCTGAATTCTATCGCCCTGGAAGCATCGACATGCTCCTGGGCTGTGGGACAACACTTTCAATGCTTGGCACATCGAAGAAACGACTATTAACCAACGATCAGCCAGATTTATATTTGATGCAGTCGGTACTCGGTTGGATTATCGGTGGAGGGGTTCCTGCTACACAATCTCCATCTCCACTCTCATGTCATCTCACGAACGCTGAACACGTGGAATTCGATCTAGCTAAATTCTGCGAAGTCGAAGAGGCCGTATCAGAACCCAGGAACATCGAGAATGAATGTGAGCAACATTTTTCCTCTAATTTCTCACGAGACCCCACTGGAAGATACATCGTGGCGCTTCCGTTCAACGAGAAAATTAGCAAGCTTGGAGAATCTCGCTCCCGAGCTTATCATCGATTCAAGCCCTGTGAACAAAAATTACTCCAGAATCCAGAGCTTAAAAATCAATACGACTCTGTGCTCCAAGAATACCTTAACCTTGGACATATGACTGAAATAAATACCCATGACATCTCTCATCCGGGTTATTATCTTCCTCATCACGCAGTCTTCAAGAAAGGAAGTTTGACAACAAAGCTCATAGTAGTTTTCGATGAATCAGCCAAAACCAGCACTGGCCTCTCACTCAACGAGACTCTACATGTTGGTCCCACCATCCAAGACGACATCCTATCCCTCCTCTTGAGATTCCGGTTGCATCAATACGTGCCAACAGCGGATATACAGAAAATGTATCGTCAAGTACGTGTGAAACCAGAGGATCGTAAATATTAACGAATTTTATGGCGCAATGATGATGGTCCAGTACGAACGTATGAATTGAACACTGTTACCTTTGGGCTATGTGCTGCGCCATACCTCGCAATACAATGTCTCCACCAACTAGCTACTGATGAGAGGAACCAATTTCCAATGGCTGCAGAGATTCTCAAACGTGACATGTACGTCGATGATCTCTTGACAAGAGCTCAGACTCGAGAAGAAGCTCTTGCCATCCGTGATCAAGTGACACAGCTGGTACAACGGGGAGGTTTCAATCTACGTCAATGGGCTTCCAACGATCCCACGTTGCTACAGGACCTAGCACCAGATGACATCAACCGTCATCTGCTCATCACAGATTCTCCGGCATTGAAAACCTTGGGATTATCGTGGAATTCTTCAAACGATCACATTGAATACAAGGTGAAATCAGTCGAGGCAAATGCTCCATTAACAAAACGCATCGTTATGTCTGAAACTGCCAAGATATTCGATCCCTTGGGGTTATTGGCTCCAGTCATCATCATCGCCAAGACATTCATCCAACGACTATGGAAATTGCAGTTGCATTGGGACTCTCCACTGTCAAATGACATCCAGAAGGAGTGGACGGAACTCTACCAGCAATTACCACTGCTCCAATCTCTCCAGTTTCCACATAAGGCTCTCTCTCAACACGCCGAAAGAGTCGAACTTCATGGGTTCTGCGATGCCAGCAACCTAGCATATGGTGCTTGTATATACCTCAGATCCATCAGCAACAGTAGAGACACACAAGTTTCCCTACTGTGCGCAAAATCACGCGTTGCTCCAGTGACAACCAAGCCTTTTTCACCTCGGCTAGAGATATGTGGAGCATTATTACTTGCAAAACTGATGACAAATGTTCGCTCCATCATCCACATTCAAGCTCATCGAGTGGTATATTGAACTGACTCTACAGTAGTTTGACATTGGCTACACACCTCAGCAAGATTACTCCCATATGTGGCTAATCGAGTCTCTGAAATCCAGCAGAAAACAAACATCGATGACTGGAAACACGTCAGAACTCACGAGAATCCTGCTGATCTAGTCTCTCGAGGGCAAACCCCTGAGGAATTCATCAAACCTTCATTGTGGAAGGAAGGTCCAGCATGGCTACATCAAGATGAGGATCATTGGCCAGCTCTGGAGCACCACTTTCCATCCACTCCTCCAGAGCTAAGGAAACAACAGCCCACTCCTCCAGCTGAAACATGTTTTGTGACGATCATGGATCAACGCAGGAGCAATGTGCTCACTTGGTATTCATCATTGACCAAGCTGCAGCGCGTAATTGCCTACTGCCGCCGTTTCCTGTCTCGCAACAAGGGTCCAATCTCAGTGGATGAAATGGACGCTGCCCTTCAAGGAATCGTGTACTGGATGCAACGTGAAGCCTTTGCCCCAGCTATCACACTGCTTCTGAAGAAAGTTCCTGATCAAAAGGCATCAGCTTTAGTACCATTAGCTAAACTCAATCCTTTTTTGGACCAACGGGGAGTCATTCGTGTTGGTGGTCGCTTGAGAAATTCCAAAATACCATATTCTTAACGCCACCCCATGATACTACCCAAAAGACATCATGTGACAAATCTCGTCATTCATCAAGAGCATCAGAGACAACTCCACGCTGGTGCCCAAGCTACGTTGAATGCCATTCGCCTTCGATTTTGGATTCCAGATGGCCGAAATACAGTGCAGCACCTCATCGGTTCCTGCGTGCGATGCATTCGCCACAGGCCACCACCGGTCAATTATATCATGGGGAATCTGCCTGAAGCACGTGTCACCGAGTCACGCCCTTTCACCAACGTCGGTATTGACTATTGTGGACCCTTCTTCATCAAGGAAAAGAAGATCCGCAATAGGGCCCGTGTAAAAGTCTGGGTAGCAGTTTTTGTATGTCTTGCTGTGAAGGCAGTACATCTTGAGATCGTCAGTGACCTGACTACAGAAGCCTTTCTTGCTGCTTTCCGACGATTCATTTCACGGAGAGGACTCTGTGACAACGTGTACTTGGACAACGGAACTTGCTTTGTTGGTGCCAACAATGAACTCCGAGAACTCCATGAGTTCCTCCAGAACAAAGATCACCGACAGAAAATCGAATCATTTGCCACCTTGAAGTCAATCAAGTGGCACTTCATCCCACCACAATCTCTATACTTCGGAGGCCTGTGGGAAGCAGCTGTCAAATCCTTCAAGGTAAATTTGAAAAGAATTGTTACAGATGAACTCCTGACATTTGAGCAGTTCGACACCCTGGTGATCGAAATTGAAGCAGTGTTGAACTCCAGGCCTTTGACACCTTTCTCATCAGACCCAAATGACCTCCAAGCACTCACTCCGGGTCATTTCCTAATTGGTGAGGCATTGACAACATTGAGGGGTCCTGACTTCAGGGAGTCCCCTTCCAATCGACTATCTACATGGGAACATCTCCAGAAACTCAAACAAGATTTCTGGACTCGAGCTCAACCTCAGGAACAAATGGGCGAATGGGGAGCACCACATAACCGTGGGCACCGTTGTCCTACTGAAGGAAGACAATCTCGCACCACTACAGTGGGCCATGGGTCGGGTTATCCAGACTCACCCTGGAGCTGACGGTGTCACTAGGACTGTGACACTCAAGACACCCAAAGGAGTCCTCAACAGAAACGTGAAGAAGCTGGCACCTTTGGTATTTAATAATCACGAAAATTCATAATTATATTGATCACTTCATTCTCAATAGGGGAGTATGTTCGGTCGACGACGATTTTCGTGATGTTCGTATTATTCATTTAATTCTTTCCGAGAATCGTACCTCAACAAATTCCTTTCACAAATTTCTAGCCGAAAAAAAAAATGTAGCAGATGTTCATATTTATTGTCTTGAATTCTCAAAACTCGCTAGTTTTCATTTTCGTTCTGAAACCATTCATTCATTTTTCTTTTCTTCATCGTGAAATCCCGAAGACTGTTTTAATATCAATGTCGCCGAAAACGTGAAATCCCGAGGATTAAGCGAAAATCTCTATTATTTTACTTTTCGAATACCCAACTTTTCAATAGTTTTATTCTACTCAGCTCGATCTACATCGTTTATGACGGTCATTTATGACTTTATTACGGTCACGTATTGTTCCTCGAGCGTCGCAGGACCCAAATATCCACCCTCCTTCCGTCTCCATTATTCATTCCTTCCACTTCACTCATCAATATCGTCCACGATGCCGAACCAATCAAATTCTTAATTTTACTTCTATTCATTTTGTCCTCCAATCCGAGTTCACCCCAATTCGTTCGGCAGTATGTACACCAAATAGTATATAAGACGATACTTGTGTAAATAAAATTAGTCTCTAAGTTACCTTCAACGCGGAAACACTCAAATATTTCGAATCGCATACTCACTTCAATTAAATCGAAGTGGTATAGCCGGTTTTTCACATTTGTTTTATAATCATGAACATTTAATTAAAATAAAAATAACTTCCTCCAATTTAATTATCCAAATTTAATAACGCAGTGTAAAATTGTTCAAAGTGTTTATCTGTTTTATTAAATGAATATATTACGTTGTTTTAAAATATACCATTCAGCGTTTTTTTTTATTAATAACGTAATCCAATCGTTTGGCTCCTTCATTCAAGGCCAAACAGCATTTGCAATGCCATTAACTAGCTCGGCAGACGACTGGTCAGACCAGCCTGGTCTACGACTACTGTCGACTTTAACGATTCGAGCGGAAAATAGACGCCACCGCCATCTCGCAGCATTCCCCCTACAAGCTTCTATCATCATTCTTAAGGCCCGCATGGAGGTTCGAAACCCCTCTCCCCTCCACCCACCCCCCCTCGTCTATGTTCTCTGCCATCTAAGATGGCGTATTTCCCCCACTGTTCTCCGGTACTTTTTGGGGGCAATTTTATAGCCTAAAGGGAATAAAAAAAGAAAAAAGGGCGATGTAGCGCGAATTCTATTTTATTGATTAATTTTTTGAGCCTAATTTTATAAAGAATAAAAAAAAACTTGCGCCGTAAGAAGTAGACAAAGTTTTGGGGGAAGACTATGCACTGAGGGTAGATAATCTTGTTAGTGTAGATAACCCCGGTCACATTTCACTTCTGACAAAAATTTCACTGAACACAAACTAAATCTAAAAATTTCGCGTATGTAGCGCGATTACAAATTTTTCCCCCGAATTATTAAAACTACACTTATTATAAATAAATAAACACTCGCGAAATAAGAAGTGTACAACGAGCTGGCGATCAGCTGTCATAGCCGAACACTGAGGGAAGATAATCCACGGCGACTCAATGCTCCAGTGAAAATGCGGCAAGTCCCATGCCTACCTAGCGCTCCTTTTTACCGACCGCGACTAAGGCGATGTTTTCACGCCGGCACTGTCATACGGTTCCGTACGATGTAAACACTATTAGAGAAGGGGGTGGGGTGGAGAGGCCGGCGTTTTGCAAATCTCTCCGCACCTCTTTTCACCCACAAATATCTCAAAATTGGCCAATAATGGCCAATTTTTATTTAAAAAAAACAAGTTTTCAGGGAAAGAAGTTTTTTGAGGATCGAAAAGATTCTTTTTTTATTTTATTTTCAATTAGGGGTGTTTTTAACAAAAGTTGCGGAATTTTTTCACGGGGGGCGACTCCGTATGGGGGAAAGTGAATGATATGGGCCGATAATAATCATCATTATTTTGTCATCACGTGTTGTGTTGTGTTGTGTTGTGTGTGCTTTGGAATCAAACAGGTATGTAAATTTCATTCTTTTTTCACGTTTCTTTTGGTGAATTAATCATTTTGCAATCAATAAATGATTGGCTTTGATTATTGATTAATAATCAAAGCCTTACTCATTTTGTTGATGATTCTTTCACCCATAATATCTCAAAACCAGCAAGAATGATTATATGGTTATGAAACGCGAAAAATGTTTTCCGTTGAGCATCTGTGTGCCAGATGAGAAAAATTTTCAGTAGTAATATCACATGACCTTCAAAATTATCGCATATTTTCTGATTGTTTTGTTGTGTAGCAACGAGAGAGAGAAGTTTCAGAGGTTTGTGTGAAACTCCACCCGTTGATTGTTACTCAGGAAAACAAAAGGAAAATATTTGATGAATTTTGAAGGTCGAGTGATATTCGGCGGATTATTTTTTTCATTCGGACCTGGCCAAACAAAGTGCAGAGTTTCAACTCACATGATAAATTCAATATCGTCTCCATACTGATATGATGATCGTTTTCTATTTCTTTTCATTTTTTCCAAAGAGTTCTTCCCGAATCGACTCATTTTTCATTTTTTTTCTTTCACAGTCCTCTCACTATTTCTTATAATCTCTGACAGTTATTTGATTATAAAAACAATTGAAAAGCTAGAGCGGAATTATCAAAAATGATCAAAAATTGCCAAAAATTGTTAGTAGCATTCTCTTATTCACGTCGAAATACTGCGCTCTGATTAACCAGAATCCGAAAGAAAAAAATAATCATTGAAAGTTTTTTGTGAGTCTCGTTTTGCTCTCAAAAATAAGATAATGATAAGAAATTTGCTCCTGGGCTCCGATTAGCTTCAACATGTCCAAATAGCGTGTCAAAAATTTTTGTAACCCTAATTCCCGTATAAATATGATGTCTCAAAAAATCAATGGAACTAGGTAGGAATATAGGTCTTCATGATACTATAAGACCGATGACGCGCTACGCGCGCTGTATTGTTTGCAGCTATCTCTTATAATTTTCGAGAAAAACAAAAAAAAAAAGAAAAAATCACTTTTATATCGCATTACTTTTGACAGTAGTTTGGGGTTTCAAAGAACTCAAATGTTCCGTAGAACCGATTGCAATTGAAATAAAGCAGCTATCTCTTATAGTTTTCGAGAAAAACAAATAAAAATGAAAAAATCACCTTAAGTCACCTGATACCACATTCTACGTGAGGGGGGCGCTTGAATTTTCCGCCCCGAGTGCGATGACAACCTATTGGCCAATGAGGAATTAGTCTTACGCGTTTCCAGATATTTTAACTCGGACGAACGTTACTGTTGTGTTTGTGTTTTCTTATTGGCAATCCACCCCAAAATTTTCACTTTTTTTTCTTTTTTTTCACATTTGAGGAAAATTAGATTTTTGAAGAATTTGCATTTTTTTTACGATTTCGCTGCCAAAAATAAATCAAATTTTTTTGCGCTCAGTCTCAAGATTTTCCATAGTACTATAAACTCTCAGCAACGAAATTTGGATACCTTCATATCTCAAACTCAATTTGATGAAAAAAAAATAAAATGTTACAACGTGGAATCAGCCATTTATAATTTTTTCATGTTATAGTTAACGATGTCCGACACCCAGGAGAGCGGAAAGGAGTTTGAGAGACGAGGAGAGATAGAGAGGGAGCAGGAGAGAGAAAGGCAGAGGAGGGAAGGACAGAGGAGAGGAAGGCTGGAGAGGAGAAGTGAGGAGAGGAGGAGTGGGGAGAGAGGAAGGGCGGGGAGAAGCCGGGAGAGTAGAAGTGAGGAGAGAGGAAGGGCGGCGAGGAGAAGTGAGGAGAGAGGAAGGGCGGCAAGGAGAAGTCAGGAGAGAGGAAGGGCGGAGAGAAGACAGGAGCGAGGAAGAGCGGAGAGGGGCAATGTCGTTCCGAACCCGGTTTTCCGGGTTCCGGAAAAAAATTCAAGGACGGTGGCGGGAAGGAGTCAGGGGAAAGAGGAGCAGAGGGATCAGACGAGGAGAGGAAATGGGAAAGCAGGTGGAGGTAGATCGGGGAATCGGAAAGGAGGGAGCCAGAGGAAGCAGAACTGGAGGAGAAATAAGTGAGAATAACTAACAAATTCATTACAGTTTTTCCATTAATAATTTATTCTACTAACAAACATTGATCATTTTCTCTTACAGAAAAGAACAGAACCAGAAGATCGGAGCGGCAACAACTGCGGCGGGGCCAAGTCCTGCGCCGCCAGTTGACAGGACGTTGGCTCGCCTGCAATCCCTCATCCCTCCTGGAAGTTCCCCGATCTTCCACATCACCAACCTCCACCTGCATTGAGGGAGAGTTTTTTTTTTATTAAAAATTGAAAAAAAAATAAAAATAAATAAATAAATTAAAAATAAAATGACTTTGTCGAGTTTATTTTACTTGAGGCTCACCTGCGTCATGTAACGAATCGCCCAGGTCAACTTCCAGTACTCTCCTTGTCAATTTTCTGTAGAATAATTTGGGGGGGGGGGAGGAAAGGGAAAATACTAAAATAAGTGGAGACATAAATCGTGATAAGGCTCATGAAAACCGGGAAAATTATCCATAATCGTTGAGAAAAAGTTCCTATGGAATTTGAGGATGTTATATCGGTCGAAAAAAGAGGTAATGTCGAATAATCTTCTAAAAATTCGCAGGACAAATACAGTGGAAACGTAGATGAATCCTCTGGAGAACTTTCTATACAATATTCTCCAACAGAGTCTTAAAAAAGTTGTAGGAAATTATGTAAGAATCTTAACGGAACAGTCTTCTATGTTTTCCAGTATAAAATTTGCGAGAAAATAGTTCACTAGAACACAGGGGAAAATTGGAAAGTATTGACAACGCCTTGATGGATGTCCGTGGAAACTCCCTGCAAAATATCGGAAAAACATGAAAAAAGGTCTCAAAAAATCTGGATCAATTACTAGAAACGTTGAGCATGAACATTCTGGAATATTATCACTTATCTTTTCTATTGAAAATCCCACTGAATATCCAATGTTTCAGAGGATTCTTTCAGATACATCC